AAGGAACTAAAATTTTAGTTGATCACTTCGGTTCGTCATTGGCTCGATTTAAAGCTCTGACAATTAAATTAAATATTCTGCACAATGCATTTATATTCAGTTTTCAAAGTTTGGCAACGTTGATTTAAGCATCCATTGTAAATGGTAAAAAACCCCAAAATTTAAGTTTTTATTTGTTTTCATGGAACGCATTATTTCAAAATAATTGCGTATGATTTTGAAATATTCAATACGTGCTGAATACGATTGAAGAGTATAGATTTTTTTCGCTTCAAAATAATTGAACGCATAAAAGACCACATTATTATCATTATTTGACTACATTACTATTTGTTTTAATTTGTGATTTAAGGAAAATTACGAATAATATTTTTTACTGGGATAATATACCAGGATTAACATAATCCAAATCGCCTATTGGTACCTATAATAATAAGAGATACCAGGATTGTATGAACCTATCAAAAGAAAAACTTAGAATCATCACAGGAATCCTAACAGGGCACTGTAAACTAAAATACCACCTTACAAGACTGTATATACATACGGATGCAAACTGTACATTCTGTGAAGAAAATGAGGTGTATGCATATACGGAATAGGCTCCTAAATATATTGGAAGAGGCAATAAACCTATTCTGTGAAGTAGGTTTTAAACTACATTTCAAACTTCATTACAATATTTAGAGAAGAGAGTTGAGATAAAGACTCTGAGTATCTAAAAGTGTAGTAATATCTAGGTCAGAGGAGATACAGGGGTTAGGGTAATTGCAAAAGCGTGGGGGATTATGGGTGGTCTATTAATAAAGAGTAGTTTTAGACTAATAGTTTAACTTTAAACATATTTAGTTAGCATCAATTTGAAAAGATTATTCTGTTGAATTTTGTTGTATTAAGTAAAAACGTATGAATATCTTATAATGTTATTAGAAGAATTATGTTATATTAGGACGCGAACATAATTAATTCTTCTTTTCGGGGAGCTGGTTACCGTAGTTAATTTGAGTATCAGTAAGTCCTTACTCTGAAAATAAAGTCAGCCCCAATTTAATTTTAAAGCCCCAATTAGATCAACACTGGTAAACAGTAAATATGTAATTCTCGGCTTATTGCTTATTCTGCAATATGTCTGTTAGTTTCGGAACTCAGTGAAAATAATTTTAATTCTTATTTATATAAAATATTTTAACAGTTGTATTTAGGTTTTGTTCTCTATTATTGTCTACCAATCATGTAACGGAAAAATTCAATCAGATGATATGCGTTCTTTAAAATATTTGCGTAGTTGTAATCAGTTCTAAATCTCTTTTAAGCATTAATAAAATATGTGTATAGATTTTAGATTATGATATTACCATTGAAATGTTAACGGTGTTTATTTTGAACTAATTGTACCTGAAACAAGCTTCTATACTCTACTCTAAGTGTGAACAAATGAAAATTTTATCACATACTCAACAAGGGATTTCAATCCTCTTTATATAATTTATAATACTGGATGTCGTTATGTGGTCCTCCAATATATGGAAATCAAAAATGAAAATAATTATACATATAATAATCATAAATTAAATAAAAATAATATTTATCCAATGGGCAGTATACTGAATAGATAATGTATAATAAGGTATCACGTGGTATAATGGTATACATAACATATAATAAATTATTCCGGAAAAATAAGAAAAAACTTATACATATGTACAATATATGTTTATTGAAAATACATTATTTATAATTGATTCCGGTTAAAGAAACTAACGTACTTATAAGGTTCAATAATGGAACTGCCCTCAATATATAGTACTCCGCCAATATTACAAAGTATTTAGTGTCAAACTGAAAATATATATAAATTTGTTTTTGAAATTCATTATAAAATCTTAACATATATTATCTTAATCTTAATATATGGTATATAATTAAACTAGTCAAAAAATAAATTGATAATTATTGATAAAAATATTTAAAATGTATGTATTATACATAAAATGTAAATTACGCATATGCAAATCTAAAATCTAATTATAAAAAAAAAATGTTTTTTTAATATTGACTTAATTAAAAAATTATATCCAAAAGTACCATTAAAACACAAAAATCATACAAGGAAACAAAGTAAAACGGTGTCATGAACAAACACAACAGCATCACGCTTAAAACATCAATCGCGCAGCAACAAGAAAGATAGTCACCAATACATAAAAGACCGACTAAGCCAACAAAAACAATATCATCGTCTTCAATGATATCGACTTCGACATCACATCGACATCGACATCGACAGCGAAATTCCCACTTAATTCGTCATAGTGTAACTTTAATTTGCAACAACAATACAACCATAAAAATGATTGCAACAACAACAACATCGACATCGCTTTCATAATATTTTTAAGCGAAACTTTAAAGTTTCACTTTCGCTTTCAGTTTAAGTTTGGCTTGCGTTTGCATTACGTTGCTTGCGTTTGGCTAAAATGATGAAGTTTTTCTTTTTAAGCGCATGAGGTAAAAATAGAGTCGGAGAAGCCAAAATAAATGAATAAAATGTAGTTGTATTTACATGAGCATACTCTAAATTTTCTCATACAGCAGTAAAGTGTTCATAAGCAAATAAAGCGCTTATAGATGTGTGTGTAAATATTTGGCTATGTGTGCTCTACATTAAGCTTTAGTCGCTGAGTGAGCAACATTTTATTCATGTTTTCGGCATATGCAACTGTGTGAGAATTAAGTAAAGTAAGCAAGAGAAAAAGCTTTGTAATATATGAACATATTGTAATTTAACTGTTTCCATAAACGAATACTATTGAAAGTAAAAATTCTGCTTGCATCGACTGCGCTGCAAGCATCAAACAAACTTCGTATTTTTGGCTACAAAAAAAAAATTTGATTCGTTTTGAACAGTAATACGCGAGTATACCGACGAGCCTCAAATATAGCGTGCGCCGCGCTGGGTGTAACGTCGTCTATATGTTTTCTTCGTATTATTCGTGAGTACCTATGGGGTATCCTAGCATTTACTTGCGTTTAGTCAATCGAGATTCGTGGTTGATGTTGGTCGTGTTTTCGGCAAATTAAGTAAAGTTTCAACAAATACAAAAAAAAAAACAATATATATATTAAATAATCATCCACAGGAAGCAATAATAAATTTATTTAATAAATTGTTTGTTAATAAAAAATTAAAAAAAATATTTCACCAAAAATAATTATTTCCGAAAATAAAAAAATTTCTTCATTTAATCAATACATAATAAAAGTATTTAAGCTGTAAACAAACTACCAAACAAAAAACGAATATAATCATTTATTAAAAAATTGTATGTGCTTTTACAATAACAGCCCAAGGATTATGTTCATTGTAAAAAGCTATACAATTCGTATAATATTATTAATTAAATTTGCCGAAAAACAAAAGTTACAATAAAAATTCTTTCAATCTACTCAAGTACCTACAAATCAACTTTCAAAACAGAAAACAGAATTTTGCAACCAAATTCGTAAACACAAAAAGGAATCAACCTACATTTTCAGCGCTGCATGCATTGCATTTTAATGTGTGGCGATTAAAGCAAACTTCAAATAGAAAAACATAAAAGTTTTTAAATATTTATATAATAAAATACAAAATAAAAAATTATATACATATAATACATTCTGTGCATTATGACCCAAGGGCCCTTCTAAATTAAAAAAAATTAGATTCATTAAAAATACAAAACAAAAAAAATTTAAAAGTGATCATAACGTAACTCAAGTGCTTCTTAAGTTTGTGCAAATTTATATTTCATATTTTAACGAAAAAAAAATATAAATATTATATATATTAAGATATATGCAAAAAAATTATATATAGAAATTAAAAGTTGAATAATAAAATTAAGCCCTTTTAATCTAATCACGCATTATTTTACTTCATACCTCAACTACCTTTACCGTGTTAATGTACCTGCCTTTTATGTAAAAATTAAAATAAATTCTATATTTTAATCATATCGTAAAATTTAAAAATAAATTAAATTAAATAAAAATAAAAAAAAATTAATTTGTAATAATATAAGATGTTTTACCAAATTCATATAAACTCACCAACGCCACCACCAGTTATAATAGAATTATTTAGAATTTCAAATTTTGGAAAAGTGTTTAATACAAATTAAAAAAGATCAATCCAAAAAGAAAAAAAACAAAAAAAAATAGTCACAGAAATCAATTATATAACTTTAAAATATAATCAATAATTTTTCGGGTGTGTATGTGTGCTTTGGCACGCGATCCGTCCATATCCTCCAATCAGTTGCAAATCTATTTAATCATAAAAACCTCTAAAGTCTCTCTCAGTGTTCCAAATCCGAAAAACAACAATCCGAAAATAACAGAAACCTTAAATAAAAGCACAAAATAAAAAAGTAAAGGAAACACAAAAAACAAAAAAATAAATTATCTTAAAATTTAATTGACTCATACGTTTTTATGTGGATAATTTAATTAAAATAACGAAAAAATAAAAACTATGTTATTAAAAATGGAACAGCAACAAGCGACAGAGTCGTTCATATCGTCGCTCAACATATCTCCATTTTCAATGCAATTAGAACAACAGCCGTCAAGTCCAGCCATAGGAGGTGGCAATAATCAAGGCCAAGGCAATGCAAATTATCCAAATAACGCTAATAATTCTGATAACGATACATCCGCACTTACCAACACTAATGCAGACTATGCAACATATACGTTGCAGTTAGTTAGTGGTGGTGGCGGTAGTGGTAATAGTAATCAGCAGCATCATCAACAGCAACAGCAGCAACATCACCAACATCAACATCATCCACAACAGCAGCAACAGCAACAACACTACCAACAACAGCAGCAGCAGCAGCAACAACAACAGCAACAGCAGCAGCAACAACAACAACAGCAACAAAATATTGCCAACAATTCAAACTTTTCATATTCGTACATTTATAATTTTGACTCACAGTACGTATTCCCGACAGGTTATCAGGATAATACTTCGTCGCATTCGCATCAAAGTGCCAATGGTGGTGGCGGTAATGCAGGTGGTGGTGGTGGCGCCAACACTTCTAATCAAGCAGTTGGTCTTTTGAATGGAAGTGTTGGCGGTAATGCCAATTCTGCAGGCGGCTATATGACTCTACTACCACCTGCAGTGGGAAACGCAAGTGGCCATCATCTTGGTGGTACTGCTGGCACAAGTGCCTCATCTGGTGTTAACAGCGATGGCAGTATTGATTTTAAGCATCTTTTCGAGGAATTATGTCCTGTATGTGGTGATAAAGTTAGTGGCTATCATTATGGTCTACTAACATGTGAATCGTGCAAAGGTTTCTTTAAACGTACGGTTCAGAATAAAAAAGTATATACATGCGTCGCTGAACGATCCTGTCACATCGATAAGACACAGCGAAAACGCTGTCCTTACTGCAGATTCCAAAAATGTCTCGAAGTTGGCATGAAATTAGAAGGTAAGTACAAACTCGTTTTTTTTATATTATATATATTTATGTAGGTTTTTGTTATCATTCATATATGCAGTTTAAATGTATATAATGTAATATATATAATATATAATAATATATATAATATATAATAATATATATAATATATAATAATATATAATAATATATAATAATATATATAATATAATATAATATACAATATAATAATATATAATATATGTATAATAATATATTGTAATAAATAGAATGTTGCATTTAGCAAAAAAATGATTCCTTAGGTTAGGAGTTAAAAAATTCTTATAGAATGTATAAATTAATAAAAAAAATTGGATTTTTGAACAATAGTGAATTTATACAACAAATTTTTTATTAGCTTTAATTAATTGAATTTTTTGGGTGACCACACGGCTATTAGGAGTACATGTTTTCAAATATCCATTATCAGTGGTGTTTTGAGAAATATTTGTTATATTTAATTATTCGTAAAAATAATTTTTAATATTTAAAATCCAACCATTTTCCATATTTCCATATAAAATGGAAAACTTCCACTATACAATCCAACTATTTCGTTTCATGAACCAAGATATTATCGTTTATATTTATGTTATTTAGTTAGGAAGCCCACTTTATAATAACATTCTTATAATATATATAATGTATATAAAAAATAAATACTATGTATGAGCTATCTGGCACGTCTGCTTGTAGTTGCTCGTTCTTTGGCATTCCAATTGTTTTTACTAGTGTTAGCTAGATGGCGTGTCTAGTCTATGTTAGTATAATAATTGTAATAAGTTTACAACCTTATAAACTCGAGAACAAAGTAATATCGGCTAATAGTAGTTACTCGAAGAAATCAATTAAAATTATTGACTACTAAAAATTCTCCCTAATAGGGGTATTCAGAAAATCAGTATTGCCTCTTAATTCATTTTCTTATTGCCTGCTTTCCTAAGAACGATTGAAATCTTTGAATTCAAAAATATGTATATACATACACCTTAGATTTTATTATAAATTTTCATACCAAATTAATACCACTAGACAAATAGGGTAATCGAATCCTCAATATCATTTACTAAAGTTATTAAAATACCGCTCTTTTAAAATAATTCTACTAAATATAAATTATTTCAATTACGAAGTAAACCCTTTCACTCCACAGTCAGTGTTGAATTTATTTCAAATATATAATTATACCATATCTTTCTCAATCTTAGTGCTTTTTTTTATTTCTAAATATTTCTGTTCTACTACTAACAGACGTGCATACATATATAATCCAAAGAATTTAGAACTTAAAGGTATAAAAAAGTTAATAATCAAATTGCTCTATTTAAACTACTTAGATCTCTATAAAAAAAATTTAATAATTTATTAAATAATTGCTAATTACAACTGTTAAAATTATATATTCTATGTAGTTTTGTTTTACTAAATAACTGTGTCAGTTTCAAGTTTTAATTTCAAGCTAAAATCTAGGTCAACTAGTTAGCAAGCAATACTGGTAATATAATTTACTTTAATTTAATAAAATAATCAAAGTTATTTGTAAAGAAATTTTCAATATTCTATAATTAAAGAATATATAAATTCTAAAATAAATAATAAAATGTTATAATAATTGCAATTTTTTAACAATAAGAATTACTTTAGATTTAATGGTCTAATGGTCTAAAAATTCTAAAATTAAGTATAAAGTTCTTGTTTTAACAAAATCACATAAATACCCTACATACTAATTAATTTGTCTCCATTAGTGTTAATAGCACTAAAATTGAAATGAGAACGAAGTGTCATGACTGAATGATTATTTACACATTAAAAACGAAAGTTAATATTGAAATTAAATCTATTATAAAAATTATTTAATTTATGATAATGTAATTTTACTTAGTTTGATATTTAAGTATAAAAAGTTAGTTTCAGTAGACATATTTTCATACATAATTATAAAATTGATTGATAAACAAAAATTCAAATTATATTTTGTAGTAATTATTATTATAAATAATAAAAGACTAAGATTTAGTACACTCAATGCTTATATGTTTCAATGTTTATATATATATATAGTAATAGTTTGTATGAGATTTTTATCGATTAAAATAATCACAACACAACACAAGCAAAAACACAAAACAAAAAATCAAATTTTTAACTTATAATAAGTTTAAATAGAAATTATTTTATAAATATTTATATTTATTTTATAATCTCACTAAATTTTTTCAAGTTTATAATATAGTTTTTTTCCCATTGAAATTGAATTTTTTTTAAATTTACAAAATGTCTTTTACCATTACCCTGCCATGCAGAAGAGCTTGCCAAGCACTCTATTCCCTAACATTCATTTCTGAAATATTGGTATCTCGCTTGCAGCAGACGAGCTGACAATCAAACAAAAATATCTGAGCATAGCTAAACAAACTTAGGCAGATCTCAAAATCGAACTGGTCTAAACTTTATAGCTGCTTCAACTATGGTGTTACCTGCTCGATAGTGGAGTATCAGTGCTGATGGGTCACCGCATACTAGGAAAACATATTATGAGATTGGGTCTACCCTATAATGACTTCTGTTGGAGTTCTGTCTCTGCAGACGAAGTTAAAACTAAAACTACTTTAACTTATTTGTCAGTGTCCAGCATTGGCTAGGAGATGCAATTTCTTTGTGGCTCCCTTTCATACTAATCCTGCAAAATTTGGGGCTTGGCCAAGTTTATAGCGAAGGAGAGTCGTGCCTTTCGGCGTTATTTATACACTGACCTATAGTCTGCATATTAATAACGCTAATCCGTGATACCACGGAACTCAAGTGGGCTTTAGGCACAACAAACAGTCCTGCCATCGTTAATAATTTTTAAACTTATTTCTTAACTATTTAATCGATTGATGGTTTTTTGTGTTAGTTTAAGTTAAGAAATTTTCGGTATAAAGTTTTAAAACAGCTTTTGTTTTAATATTAAAATAAATTGAATTGGATGAATAATTGTTGTAGCGTCTTTTCCATTATATATCTGTTATTTACTAAGTAATAAGATATATAAATCTTTGTATAATGTAAAAAGTAAACAGCATTTACTTAATTCTTAATTTTTTAATATAAATTTTTTATGATACTAATTGATTCTTTTATCTATTTTGACTCAATTTTTATAAAATTTCTGTTTATAAAAATACTTTGAAACTACTTCTGCTGTTTCACTGATTTATGGAGATAATACCATAAATAATAATTCTCTAATAATAGTGGAGAATACAATCGACTGCACAGTTTTTAACTATTGAACTATCATATTATATAAAAATTAAACTTAGAAAAATATAAAAAAAGAAATTATTAAAAATCATTTACTTAACTAATAATATTTCAATGAAATACATTTTAAAATATCAATAGCAAATTTTCCAGCTAAGTGCACTAAAAAGTAAGAATAAAAATAAAATAGAAAAATAGGTAAAAGTCAAATTTGGTTGGTGGTATTTGATCATCAAAAAAATAAAGAAAGTTTAAAAAATATAAAAAATATATCGGCACATAATTTCTGTAGAAATATTTTCTACATCACATACTATTTCTATAAACATAACATTACAATTGTAACGTTACAATTGCAATAAAAACTGCTAGAGGATAATGTAATAATTTCCGAAGAAAATAGACTCGGACTTTTCTCAGAATAAGTTGCACAAATTATTCACCTTTAATTAAACTCTATATAAACTGCTTCACAAGTCAACTTTACTATTTTTTTTTTTTTTGTTTTGAAAATATTCATTAAAGTCGTATAAAAAGCATTATGAATAATCGATAACTCATCGACAAAGGGTCCTGACAACAATTTAAGCACACATACATATACATTTGCAACAAAATAAAAAAGTATTGCTGTATTTGAGTTCGCACAAGCTTTGCTACTAATTTTGAGTTTTCTATATTTATTCTGGTTCATTTTTATTAAGTACAACATTGAATATGACAAAAACCCTGAAAATTAACAATATATGAATACTAAAAATCAAAAAAAAATATCTATATTGCAAAGAAACGAGATACAAAGTAAAAATCTGTTTAAAAAATATATTTCAAAATATTTAAAAAAGCAGCATAAAAAATGAAGAAATTGACGCAATAAGCAAACCAAAAAATTTACGAAAATACAAATTGTCTTAATCGTCATCCGACCTATCCCAAGACCCAAAATTTTAAGCTTTGTATGCCACTGTGTTTTAAATTCCTTTATTTTTATTTGTTTTGTTTATCGTGCGCAGAGTATGAGTATTTTGCTTTATTTTTTTTTATGTTTTTGTGTTTTTTGTAATGTAGCTCGTTTAATGTTGTGTGTGTGTATGCGAGCATTTGTATGCGTTACTGCTGCGTGCCTGTATTTTCAATCTTAAATGTAAGTAAACGTTCTGCGAGTGTTACTACTTACTATATGCCTATTGCAAATTTATGTTTCCTAAAACTAAGGCTTATATAATGATATAAATCCTATAAAAGTTTGTTAAAATATTGTTTTACATAATTTTTTTTATCATATTATGTAAAATATTATTAATATATTTTATACAACATACATATACTTATGTGTATAGACTACTCTTACCTTGTGGTAATTTTGTCTCAGTAATTATTTCTCGTTCACACGATCTCAATTAAGATTCACTTTTAAACTTACATTATAGCTGCTCTTAACATTGTTTTATAATATGTACATTTTAGTTTAATATGTTTTATTTTGCCTTTTCAATTAAAATTCTTTAAATAGGCCAACAGCTGGTTGAGTTTGGCTTCTGTTGCTCACATTTAGCCGTAATCGGTTGCAACGAACGAAACATAAATATAAGAAATTAAAAATAATGTGCACCTTCATGAGCGAATGTCGCCATGACGTGACGTCTCGTGCATTGCAAAACTTTACGTTGCCCGCTTCGTTTCATTCCGTCCGCACACATAAATACATCATCTTATGACAGTACAACAAAATGGTAGTGAAG